GAGGGGGGGGGGGGGGGGAGGGGGGAGAGTCTGCCCTTGTGTCAATGCACCATCATTGCCAAGGTTCAAATACCAAGGGATGCACTATGGGCAAATTACATTTGTTTAGCCTTTCCCCTGTCAATTTTATAAAGGCAGTTCCTGATGCATGAGAGCCCAGCTTCTGCCACTTTTCTTAGGACTCAACAGACAGTTGGATGATTCTTACTTGTTATCCCATGTTCATCACATAGTTATGGAGGTTCTGACTTATGTAATTCACAGTGGTGTTAAAGACACGCTGTAGAAGAGATGGCATTTTGTTTGTTACTGTTCTAGCTAAAACCATTGCTAGCACCAACATGGCCTTCTCTCGTTCCATTTCCAAAGGCACGGTTCTCATGAGCTCCTCCACTGTGTCAGACAGACGCCTCATTATCTCCTGAACAGAGGGGAAAGAAAAATTACTCATTTTTAGCTGTTGCCATTAGGAGTCTCTAAATATCCCACTAGGGTCTGTAAAAGTGACAAAACAATAATTCTGCCAATAATCCCAGTTGCCCCAAAACATTGCTATAGTCCCTTCAACTCAGATCTTTTGTACCCAACACTGCATCATGCATGTACTCATTTTGGGTGGCGTTTAACACCTTGAGTGACTTTTACACAATGGGGGGCACCGTCATGTACAGCAGGATTTATAGTCCTCACCTCTCTGGACATATTCTCATTCACAAATTGCTGCAGTAGGTCATTTACTACTGCTGGATGGATCTCATGAGCCACTTGATCCCCGATCTGGGCAAGCTGAGCACCAATCACCTGGAATATGTCCTCAACCGAAGAACCTAATTCCAGCAAAATAAAAAGATGATTTTAGAGAGGGTTTTGTTTACATACAGATCAAAACTAGGCCCAGTGCAGGTGAACAGGCTCAAGTACTCCAAAAGTTCTCTCACTGTCATGTGCACACAGCCCCTCTTCCCAACAAAGTGTTGGAAACTACCACTTTCCCCAGGAATCATTCCACTCATCAGCCACCTCTGAAGTGGAACATGATTGTCCTGAATGGAGAGCTGATTGTCCAGTAGCACTATGTCACAGCTCAGGAGAAATATTCTCTCACCCTAATCATTTTGCAGTGGGAATTTAAAATATAGCTACTGGAATGATGTTTGATTTGGTCAGGTCACAACAGTAACACCCTCATCCAGGAGGAAAAACAAGTTCACACGATTTTTCACAACCATGAACAGGACCTCTTACATCTCATCTAGAATACAGCATCTCTATTAGCAGAACTACCACGCTGGGGCCATGAGTTCAGTAGTAAGCTATAGGGCAGAGTTCCACCTACTATAAACATCCCGATTTATCTTACTGATCACCCATCCAAGAATAAAGCCTGCCCAGCCCTGCTTTGTCTGTGAGACTGGAGGAGATCAACTGTTAATACTAGTCCTATTTCATCAGCCATTTTGGATAATGTTTCCCCATCAATCAGCCAAAGCAAACATCCATGAATTTCAGCCCAAAGAGCAGAGATACAAGTTGTTCCTAAAGTCTCAGCTCAAAGCTAGCTAATGTATGTTAGGTACCCAAGTAGCCAATCAAAGTAACTTCTTCCTAAGCAAGGCTGAATTGGTAGCCTGGGGTTGAGGCTACATTATGACAAATTGCAAGGGTATGGAGGAAAAGGCATCTAGGTATATGGTGAAGAGTACTCTACAAGTAAGATACAATGCTAAGCATCATCTGTACTATCCAAATGGAGAAAGCTCAACTTCTTATCAAGAGCCACAGCACAGCAATACTCTGCAGAGAAAAAACTCCCTTGTACCATTCTGCTGCTGAAGAGATCTTCAGAACAGTGGAATAAG